AGATATTTTTGTTTGTTTTTTGAGACAGGGTCTCCCTGTAGCCATGTCTGGTCTAGAACTTGCTATGTAGATCAGGTTGGCCTCAACCTCCCAGAGCTCCACTTGCCTCTGTTTCTTGAATGCTGAGATTAAAGGCATACATTACCATGCCTAGCAGAATTTTTTTATATTAATTTTTAAATTTTCTTTATTTTGATTGTATGTGTATGAGTGTTTTGTCTTCATGTATGTAAGTGTACCCATGTCATAAAATGCCCATGGAGACCAGAAGACAGTGTTGGATCCCCTAGAACTAGAGTTACAAAGATGATTGTTAGCTGCCACGTGGGTGCTGGGAACCGAACCTGGGTCCTCTGTAAGAGAAGCCAGTGCTCTTAACCACCGAGCCATCTCCTCGGCCCTCTGAATGAAGATTTTTGATGCCTTTTCAATTCCAGAAAACTCTTATCCATTTTAGTATTTTTTCTATAAGTCCCAATTTATCTTATTTTGGGTTTCCTAGTCAACAAACATGGGATCTTAATGTATACTCCATAAACTCTTGACAGTTTTTATATCACTTTTTTGTGTGTTCATATATGTGCAAGTGCACTCAGATGTGGGTGTGGACACCAGAGGACAACCTTGAGTGTTGGTCTTCAGGTTAGTTTTCCCTGAGGCCATCTTTCACTGGCTCAGAACAGGCCAAATAGGCTAGGGTGGCTGGCCATCAAGCCCCAGGGATGAATCCATTTCTGCCTGCCCAGAGCTGGAATTAGAAGCACATGCCACCAAGCCAGGTTTCTTTGCTTGTTTGTTTTTTAACATGGGTTCAAGGGATCAAACAGACTCTCATGCTTGTAAGGCAAGTAATTTATCAACTGAACTATCTGCCCAGCCCCTATTTTCTTTTTAAAATTTATTACATTTACTTATTTTGTGAGTCTGTGTGTACATACACATTCCACAGCATGCATGAGATCAGCAGTCAATTTGCAGGAGGCAGTTCTTTCCTTCTACCATGTGGGTCCTGGGGATGAACTCAGGTCATCAAGCTTGGCAGCAAATATCTTTTCCTACTGAGCCATTTCACTGCTCCTCTATTTTCTCTCTGCCTCTTCATGCTATGTTTTGGGGAAGCCTTCACTACTATCTTATAATCACTTAGATGTCCCAAACAATAACTGTCATTTCCTTCTATAGCCACACCCTGACTCTCAAGAGGGTTTCTCCTCTGTCTTCCACACTTCAGTGACTGTGTTATTATCTGTCAGAATCCCTTCTTCTCCCAGGCTCTCCCTCTGCTCATGCTCCAGGCTATTCCTAGAGCAAAATCTAAATGGTACAGTTCTAATTTGCTTAATCCCATAATTAAAAGAAGTAGTAGTATATCATTGAACTTCAGAAACATGCTTAGAAATCACTTAGGATATGGCTCCCACTTACCCCATTGACTTCACATCACTACAATTTCTGAGCATACTTTACCTTCCATTCAAAGCACATTTTTGTGTGTTAAATGCCCACAATGTGGTACTTACTCTCCTGGGTGAACAAAATAAGTACAGTGTATAGTGTGTCAGAGGTGATACACTCAAGGGAAAGAATAAAGCAGGAAGGGAGGAGGGTGCTGGGGGTGAATGTGAAAGAGGTGGTGAACATCCAACAGAATAACCAAAAAGGCTTTCCTGAGATGGTGACATCTGAGCGAAGACGTGAAAGAGCTGAGGGAGCAGTGAAAACATCACAGAAAGAGCAAGGGAATCAGAGGGAACATCAAAAGTCTCAAGGTGGAAAAACACCTGACTTCTTCAAGAGCCATTAAGGTATCACCATGGCTGAGCAGATTTAGGAAGGCAGGATGTAGGAGATGAAGTCAGGGGATTTTCCAGGACAATAACTCACTGGGCCTCCAAAGCCGTTGTAAAGCATTTGGCTTTTACTCTGAGGTAAGACGTTGTGGGAAAGAGTCAATCAGAACAATGACATGATTTTTTTCTGTTTTAAAAGAATCTATCTTCTGTGAAGGAACAGACTTTAGTAGACAAGGCAAGGACACCTTTTTATGAGGTTATTGCAAAAATCCAGCCTTGAGATGAAAATAACTTGGACCAGAAAGGAGCAATAGGGGTGGTGAGACAATCAGACTCTGGACATATTTTGAAAGACTTAAACAAAAAGCTGCCATGGTAATCACTGCCAGGCCCTAGAGATACTTCTAGAAACTAGACAAAAACCCTCCCAGCACTGACTGAAAGGCTAGATGAGGGAATAAAAGAAAATGAAGGGGGCAAAGGTGAGTCAATTAAAAGGCAGAAAGATGGGGAAAGACAGGGAAAGCAGGTTGGGAGGTTAGTGTCTGAATATAAAGGTCTAGCTCCCTACCCGATCTCCTCATGGTGATGGCAGATGAATTTAGACACCTGAGTCTAGAGTACAAGGCACAGGCCCCGGCTACACACATACATGCTAAGAAACAATCCATGTTATAAGTATGTAAACCATGAAGATGACAGATGCACAGTAAATCATGAAATTAAAATAAAGATGTGCATAGTGTGCAGATGTACTGGGATTTGAATTTTCACCTCTTACATGTTCTTAAATATATCATCCTTCCAGATTTCTAAAAGCTAAAAACAACAAAAAAAAAAACCCTAAAAACCAAGAGGATGGATGAAGTCAACTAGGGAATGTTGACTGACACAAAGAGAACCAAGCCCTGAATCCCTGACTGTTCTGAAAACTTGGCAAAGGATACTGCAGAGGAAGAAGCCAGGAGAGCTGGCATTCTGGGAGCCAGAGAGGAAAGTGTTTCAAGGGCAAGACACTGATTACCCTATAGACTGAGAATTGGCCATGAGGACATACAGGTCATTGGTGACCTAGATGAATGCATATTCAGCGGAGTAGAAGGAGAAAGTGACTTACCATGTATTTAAGAGATAACTGGGAAGCTGGAGAGATAGCATTAAGAGCAGTTGCTGCTCTTTCAAAGGACCTGAGTTTGGTTCCCAGAACCCGCATGGTGGCTTACAACTGTCTGTAACTCTAGCTCCAGAGGATCTGATGCCCTCTTCCGGCCTCTGTTGGCACCTTTGTTCATGTCTCCCCAGGAATAGTGTCACACAAAAGAACAGACACATCAGAGTCAGAGGCCTCTGGTCTAGCCCTTACAATTTAACACCAGAACATTAGATGGGATAGAAGGATTTAGTTTCTCCACATTGGTTTACTAATCTGTGGAATGAACACACGAATGAACGAGTGAATGAGCGAAGCCGAACGGAGACCAAATTTTAGTCATTAGTCCGGCCCTTTGATCACCTCTGGACCATTGGGCATGCTGCTCCTGATGCCTGGAATGCTCTCTCTTTTCCTCCAGTAACTCCTAAAATCCGATCCGTTGCCCTCTGGGGACATCGTCCGCAAGTCCCCAGGTAAGTTTACTTCCTCCTCTGTTCCCTGTTCTTCACTGTAACACTGCACGCTTTCAGTTCCACCCCACAACCCAGTCCCAAAGGAAGCAACTGTTTTATTTTCAGAAAGGGCAAACCTTGCTGTTTCATACCTACCGACTGATTCGACAGGAGGAAAACGCCGCAATTATCTTACGCTAATTATGTCGCAACATGTTGCATTCAAACTAAAGGGGAACCTGAAACTGCCCGTTTCCTCATATCATCTTAAGGGGTTTGGTTTCCGTTTTCCCCTTGCTGGAGAGGAAGCCCCGGAAGACACTTGCTTTCCATGGTGGTAGGCCGCCACCCTGTGGAGGTGTCCGTCAGTGCAGGTGCACACACCGCATCCCAAGTAAAATTCCCAAGAACCCACAGCAGTGTGACTACTCAGCTCCCTAAATTTGCTGTCACAGCTTGACATCAGCTGTGTCCCCAACCTTCCTCGACAAAACTCACTTTGGACCCTGTTAAATCCACGACTTCCCAGGACCTGCGAATTAATACACATTTTAAATAGGAAATCTTCCGATTAAATCCCTCTGGGTATTGCTTTAGTGATTTTTCTTAACTACAAGTTTCACTTAAAGGTCTGAAAGCTGCTCTTGAAGATCTCAATTCAGCTAATTGGAGATTAAATACCCCATTATTTGTATTTTAAAGATTGATTCATATATCAGAGATATGGGAAATTTTGTTTCATTCATCTATAGAATTAGGACAATTTTCTCACCCTCAGTGACTACCTCTAAGTTAACTTTGTAATATATCATTGATTAATGGAATGAATGAATGCTCCTAAGTTCCTTGAAGAAAACAGCTGATCTTGATCTTATAAATATTTAACATATTATTCTGTATTATTTAAAACAACGTCTTCCTGTTTACAGTGAGTCAAGTGAGAGCCGGCTTTGAAGAGTCAACTTTAGAACCGTGCTGGTCATGCCATGATCATGGTCTGAGTGTTACTGCACCCAACTCCCTTGGGTAGCCGAGGTTACCCCAGCCAGGGAAAACACCATTAACGTTGTGGAGGCGGGACGAAGCCACAGACACTCAGAATCGATGAACTCTGGGCCAAAAAGACAGCAGGACCTTGAATGTCAGTCTTGTGTGAAAAGAGATTCTTCCTACCAGGATGACGAAAGCCTGGCCCGCTCAGGATTCGCGCGAGGCTCCCTCGCAGGCGCAGTCCAGCCTGCGGCGGCACCTAGCTTTGGGAGGCGGGACAAAGGCCAGTCACGTGGCCCGCAGCCTTGTCGGTGATTTCCCTACAAGGACTTGCGCCGACTGGCCCCGCCCCTCTCCGCGCCCTGGAATGCACGGAGAAGAAAGCCGCAGGGCAGACGCAACCACTGCTGGCGGGAAAGGGGGGAGGCAGGAACACAGTGCGAGAGGAGGCACGATAAACTCAAGTCAGCCATGAGGCTGAGGACGCCTCGACACTCAGCCGTGTGTGTTCTGAGTCTCCGCTCCGTCCTTCCCGCCCGCGCGCTGCATCAGTACTGCGCCTCCCCTAGCTGCCCCCGCGACTCCCCTCCCGTTAGGCTAGCCCGCAGTGTCAGCGGAGACAGGCGACCCGGCTTCCTTCCGGTTTGCTAGTGGAGGCCGGAAGTGGGGGTTCTAGGGCTGCCGCCGGGTTAGAAGCGCGCTGAGAGTGGCATTTTAAGCTTCGCCGAGGCGTTCCTGTTCTCACGGCTGTACAGGGTGAGTGGTGCCGGCGGCCGGGCGCGGGCTACCCATCCCGGGACGGCATCCCCGCGGGCGGCCATGTCCCGGAAGCCGGCCCCTGGGCAGCAGTGCCCCGCGGTCCGTGAGCAGAGCCCCAGCGTAGGCGATGGGGTCGGAAACCGGGGCCCGGAGCGGCGCAGACGCGAACTTTGTTCTGCTGCCCAAACTTGGAGCTTGGAAAATGTGGCTTAGGTCGCTGGGGAGCCCCGACATCGGAGCCGCACTCAGCTGACGCGGGGACTATGTTTAGTGCCTAACGTACCCTGCCCAGATTCGAGGGAGACTGCGCTAAAAGTGGAGCCTGGCCCGCCGCAGCTGTCTATGCAGCTGTGCGGCTGCGTTTAGGAAGAGCCCACACATGGAAGCTCGGCGTCCGGCCCTCCAATTAGAGCTGTTTGTTTGATAACTTGGACAAAGAAAAGATTGGGATTTCCTTCGCCCCCTGAGAGAAAGCCCCAAAATTCAAAACCCTGTGGGTGGAGACTATGAACAAGTCTCAAGAGGAGTGTTTTCTTTTAAAGTAGTGTGGTAGAAATGGAAAACGATACTACTAGTTATCTAGAGGCTTTTGGAACAGAAATTGGAGATGAAGAAAGTGAATGTTTACTAAAATTGATACTTGTTTTTGTGAGGCCCTTGGATGAGGGTGAACTAGAAAAGCATTTTATCTTTAAAAGCGAGGCTTGATTGACAAGTCAACCATGGCAACTGGTTGTCCATTTTTAAGTACCAAGAACTTTTGGGTGTGGCAGTCCAAGAGCTAAGCTTTCAACCGGAAGCTCGCTTAAAAAACTAAAACTTGGTTTTCGTTGGAAGGAAAACACCAAATTGAAAATGGGCTTTCAAAAACTGGATTAGCACCATAACAAACAGTAAAAAACTCCGTTTGAAAAACACTGTACTAATTCAGTGGGACAGATAGGATGTGGATTTCGAAATCAGGCCAAATACCCAAGTGCTAGAACACTATGAAGTTCTGAGATGGGAGTTTCTCAAAGGATAGATTTAACAGTTTTAAGAGAAAGTTTTCTCAGTTTGTGTTCTGTAAAAAATATCCTACATTTTGCATTTACTACCAATTTATAAATGCTAGCCCCTACTATTTTAGCTAAAACAAATTGCTTTTATTTTTGGTCATTTTGAGACAGGGGCTTCCTGTAGCCCCAGTTGGCCTGGAACTCACTATGTAGACCAGGCTGGCCTTAAACTCAGATCCACCTAACTTTGCCTCCCAAGTGCACATCTAGCATTACACATTCCTTTATGTATGGAGTAAGTCTTCATAGATTTCATAGACTTTTCTGTTTATTTTTCTTGATAGGGTCTTACACTGTAGCCCAGGCTGACCTGGAACTTAACTGTACAGCTCAGACTAGCCTGAAACTCAGTCTTCCTGCCTCAGCCACTGGAGTGTTGAGATTCCAGGCTCAACTATGAGCCACAACACCTAGCCTTACGGTTTTTAAAATCTCTAGATAGTTTTTATAGACCCTGTGTTTCTGAAGAATTTTGTAAAAGCTTCTGGTTCCCCTTGGTATGTGTAGACATCCTCTTTAAAGATTTCAGTCTACTTCCCCACCTCTTCAGCTAGTCTAACACCTTCCTTAAACATGATTTTCCTGCCTTGCTAAGCTGCTAAATGACGTGCTCTGTAGAAGGTTATTCTAAATCTCCCAGATCGTTAATGAATGTTTCCAAAGTGAGAATGCTCACAACCGGAGATCTTAGGTGATCTTCCCATCCATTCTAAATAAAGGATAGTTACAATGATTATGAAATATTTGCAGTTTTATTTTGCCCTAACTTTTTAACAGGAAAGTTATGTGCTTACACAAGGCTTGTTTGGGGTTAGAATAGATGGTGGATTAGAACCACAGCAAAGGGGACACTGCCAATAGAAGATTATCTCCTTGAAATCATAGTTCGGTTTTCTATTTGATTACCTCACTCATGTTTATTCCAACCATCTTTGTAGTTTGGTATGAAAAAAACCCCAACTTCTTACTGTGGCTGAGCTTTGTGTGACTGTAAGACTCCAGGTTTCTGTCTTGGGAGATAAACTCATAAATCAGAATCTCATCTCCTTGAAAAAGTTGAGGCCCAAGTAGTAACTTTAGCTCAACATTACATTATCACTTTTTGACAGAATTTTTTTTTTATTTTTCACCTTTGCGTGTGAGTGTATTGCCTTCGTATATGTAGTAAGTGCACCCATGTTGTGCAGTGCCCAGAGAGGTCAGAAAAAGGCGTCGGATCCCCTTGGAACTGGAGTTCCGGATGGTTGTTGGCTGCCATGTGGGTGCTAGGATTCAAATCTGGGTCCTCTGCAAGAGCAACCAGTGCTCTTAACTGCTGAGCCATCTCTCAAGCCCAGAATTAACTAATTGTTCGAATTAAGGTGAATATCTGACTCTTAATTCTAAAGGTATTTTATAACTTCCAAATGATAATGCATTTGGTTTTTCAGAGTCTCCTCTCCAGTGTTGTTACAAATATACAAAGAATTCTGAACTTACAGTATTTGGTTGTGTGTCACTTGATGAGTTATTTTCATTACTGTTTCATACATTGTTTTAACTTGAAAGTTGATCTCTGAAAAGCTGTGAGGCTCGTTCCATAAATTGAACCAATCATTGCATTTCTTTATGGTTGGCTCCCCAGAAATATTTTACACTCCTTTAAGATAGGGCATATAGGTGCTAATAACATTTGAATCACACTACTGTTCCTAATAAAGTTGATAGGATTTAAGCATTGAATGAGCTAAAGTTTTGTGAAGCTGTAGTCAGTGCTTACCAAAAGGCAAAAAAAAAAAAACTTTTCAAATGCATTTACAATTTTTAAGTGCATGATTTAAATAATGGGAAATTTATTTTAAATTGCATGTGTATTCTAACCCAAATTACACATTAAAAAAATTTTATTTTTATCTTTTTATATGTATGAGTGTATTGCCTGCATGTATGTAAGTGCACCCATGTCATGCATTGCCTGAGAAGGTCAGAAGAGGGCATCTGATTCCCTGGAACTGGAATTCCTGAAGATTGTTAGCTGCCATGTGGGTGCTAGAAATCTAACCCAGGTTCTCTGCAAGAACAGCCAGTGCTCTTAACCACTGAGCCAGCTCTCCAGCCTCCCAAGTTAAGCATTTTTAAGAGCAATTTTAGAGGAAAGCCGGGCGTGGTGGCGCATGCCTTTAATCCTAGCACTCAAGAGGCAGAGGCAGATGGGATTTCTGTGAGATCAAGGCAGCCTGGTCTCCATAGTGAGCTCCAGGCCAGTTGGGGCTATAGGGAGACCTTGTCTCAAGACCAAAAAACAAAACAAAACCCCTTAGTGAACCCCTACCAAATACCGTTGCATGGGATTTTGTAGATTAAAAAATCAAAAAAAAAAAAAAAAAATCAACTGTCAGCTATTTGATCTCTAATTCTCATCAGGTTTTTTTTTGTTGTTGTTATTCTTAACTGACATTTCTGTATCATTGGGGAAGACAATGTCATATAAAGCAGGCTATTTTTAAGGTGGCTTTTGGCTTGCAAAGGCATGCCATGCCTAAAAATACTAAAGAGATGCACACTAGTAGATAATGTGCCACTCACTGGATCAACCACTCACCCCAGGTTCTTGAGTACATTAAAGAGACAGAGTAACAATATACTTCCTAATTCCTTGTTTTTGAAACATTCCAAAGGAAAAATAACTTTATAGTAAATGAGACAGCCCCAAAATATATTACTGAGTGAAAACATGCATATACAAATGGCTTTAATAAGTTATAAAGAATAGCCTCCTGAAAGAGGATTAAAAGAAAATGGGAAATTCGAGAGGAATGTATGATTTCTGTGCTGTGTATAGTATATCTTTCCAAAAATGTCGACCGCATCTCCAGAAGTGCTGTATTAGATGGACTGCCGTTGTGACTACCCTTGATGGAATTTCCTACTAAAATCTGAAAAGAGATTTAGCTAAAAATAATGGAGCTTTTCTAAATCATAATTGAATTTAGTCTGGGTGATGTGGTATAATCAAGGAAAGAATGTAAGAAATAGATTTTTTTTTTTTTAACTCATAGGAAACATTCTAAGGGTCACTTTGGGTGCTGGAATCTAGGTAGCGGTTCATTCTTTGCAGTCCACAGATTTATTTTTAGACCAAGGGCATAGTGTTTTGCCACATCATAGCTAAATGTTGTTTTCAGAACGTAAGCTTTGAAGTTGTTATCTTGGTCAGAGAGTGAAATCAGTAGTGGCTATTTCAGTCCTTCCTGGAAGAATATAACTCAATACAGTGTCTCAGTTGCTGATCAGTTTTGCAGACTACTATCTCCACCTCAACTCCGAAGGATGGTATGGGAGAATTTTATTATCTATAACTATGGGACTTTTCAACTTCAAACACATTTTATAGTGTTTGAAAATTGAGTGTAAATTACCTTTTCATTTTATGTATTAGACATTCTTTTTAGCTTGAGTTTTACAGATAAATTTATTAGAAAGAAAATGTAGTTTCTATATATAACTTCTTAGGCTGGTCTTTAAACTAAATTTAAGATTTGTGCTCTGGTTTGTTTTGGAGGCCTTAGAATCAGGTCATTGAATAGTGCAGCTCTAGTGCACAGAACCTGTCTGTTCGGGGTACAGTGTCCAAAAGAATTCATTATTGGTGAATTAATTTCACTTTTTTATTGTTAGTTTTTCAGCAACGTGTTTCTTGAACTACTTTGAATCCAGAAGTGAGGGCACAATCTGAAATGTTAGTTGAATGTGGAATAACAACATTTGTCAGTAGTGATTAGGAGAGAGACCTGTTGTGTCAGTCATCTTCTTTCTTTGCCTTTCTATCTGCTAGAACAGGATAGCTAGTTTTGACAAGGCCATAGGAGGATAGGCCCTTTGAAGATAAGTCAGTATTTCTCAGCACCTCCATAGTGCTGATGTATAGAACTGGTACTGTTTCCCAGGTATACAAGCCAAGCCCCCTCCTCCATCTTTTATTTTCCTTTTTTGTTAGGCTCCATAGTAGTATGGAGGATGTGTAATCTTGTTGATGGTCCATCAGGTTTGATTCGATGTTGGTAGAATTTGAAATAAATTATTCTTTTATAATTTTTTGCAATTTTGAGAGTGAGTGAACTCAAAGCACCTCTCTCTCTCTCTCTCTCTCTCTCTCTCTCTCTCTCTCTCTCTTTTCTTGGGGAGAGATTTTTACCAAGGGATGTTACCCTGCTGCAGACATCACTGTCTGAGTAGCCTCAAGCATACAAAAAAGATTCAGTTTATTTTTGTTAATCGTTATTTTGATCATACTTAAGTAATCTTAGGTGTTGATTTTGTTTCCCTTGAATTCCCTTTCTAAATTAGGATTTAACCACCACCATGTCGAGCAAAAGGGCAAAGACCAAGACCACCAAGAAGCGCCCTCAGCGTGCAACATCCAATGTGTTCGCCATGTTTGACCAGTCGCAGATCCAGGAATTCAAAGAGGCCTTCAACATGATTGACCAGAACCGGGATGGCTTCATCGACAAGGAAGACTTGCACGACATGCTTGCTTCACTGGGTAATGCTCACTTTTAGTGTTAATATATGGGGTAGAATTTCCTTAATGTCTCTCATGAGTCTCCAAGCTGTATGGAGACAGTGAGTATGTTAAGATTCAGATTAATTTTGAAACAGTGTTTCCCACTGGCACCATCTCAGGATTGGGCTGGAGGACAGTGTGTGTGTTTGAGAGATTTTGATTATAAAAGCAGTGCTAATCTTCTAAATAGCAAACAGTACAAATGATCATCTTTCTTGCCAAAATGTTTGCCATGATTAATAGTTGATATGTTTCATAATGTGATTACAGTTATGACTTCTTTGTTATAGGGAAGAATCCAACTGATGACTACCTGGACGCCATGATGAATGAGGCTCCGGGCCCCATCAATTTCACCATGTTCCTCACCATGTTTGGGGAGAAGTTGAATGGCACAGATCCCGAAGATGTCATCAGAAATGCCTTCGCTTGCTTTGATGAAGAAGCAACTGGTAAGTCAGAGGTAGCCTTTGATTACAGAGTGATTGTTTTTTCACTTACATAACAACATACATAATAACTTAAAGTATGGAACGTCCTACTTTTTCTTTTGGTGGTTTTCTTTCTGAGTGCTCATGGCTCACTTTACCACCTCTCCCCTTAAATATTAGTCGTTTACAAAGGCTCATTGGCTGTTTGAAACCTCTTTGGGAAACTTATTTACTCGCTTACTAGAACGTTAGTTAACTGCCCAAGGTTTCACCTGCAGTATCTATTGAATAAGTAATTTTGACCAGAGCAATCTTATAAATTGCTATAGACCGTGGTATATTCCTGTGTGTGTTTGTGTTAATTTTAAAATCTTATTTGTATTTTTTGTGTGTATGAGTGCTTTGTCTGTATATATGTAAGTGTACCCCCGGAGGCAAGAAAAGGTCATCGGATCCCTTGGAACTGGAGAGATTTGTTGCTAGCCACCGTGGGTATGGGGGTGCTGGGAACTGAATTGAAAGAGCAGCAATTGCTCTTAACCTCTGAGCCATCATCTCTCCAGCTCCATCCTGTGTTTTCTTATCAGGCATCTCTGAATTCCAAAATTATTTACTTTCTTACCTAGTCTGTATTTTAAAATAAACCAAGTAGAGCTGAAATCAGACTACCTGGCTTCAGATTCCTCTTCTCTGTGTGATAATGATGTAATTTGGGGCGAGTAGCTTCACTAAGGTTCTGTTTTCTGATGAAGCAGAATAATATGACCTAGCTGGCCATGATGCACGTGCCTTTAATCCAGCACTTGGGAGGCCAAGGCAAGTAGATCTCTGTGAGATCAAGGCCACCCTGGTCTACATAGTGAGTACAGGCCCACTGTGGCTACAGGAAAACTCTCTCAAAAATAAAACCAGACAGTGATATAATAATATGACCTTTCTCATAAAGTATGTGAGGATTAAATGAGGAAATAAGATCATGGACTTAGTGTTTAGCATGCTGCCTGGCATATAATTGAGTCTGAGAAGAACGAAGTGTTTTGGGGTATGGTGCTGCATCCCGGTAGCTTGTAAGCCCATCACTCAGGAGGCTGAGGCACCAGAATCATGAGTTTGAAGCCATTCTGGGCTACCTAGTGACAAATGTATCTCATCAAATTACGGAAATGAACAGAAAGTGTTAACTACATGAATGTCTGGTCATTGGCAGAAGTAGAAGAGAAAACATGAGCATGTTTTTCAAGATTTCCAGTTTTTAGCAGAGCCAGTTGTTTAGAGAAAGAAGACAGTGCCCTTTGATTACCTGCATTACCTAGGTGCGTTTAAATGCTGGTGGTTGCCAGGGCCTGCTGATGTAACCATACTCTGCTCACTAGTTTTCAGTGGCTCCCCACAGTTTGGTTGCATGCTGACTTTTCACATGTATGGCCCTAAACTCTTTGGACATCCCCCTAACTTCCTTCTAATGATTTATTCATTTTTATTTGTTGTTTTGTTTTTTTGAGAGAGGGTCTCACTATGTAGCCCTGGCTGGCCTAAAACTTGCTGTGTAGATCAGTCTGGCCTCAGATGCATAGAGATCCACCTGACTGTCACGAGTGCTGGGATTAAAGGCCAGCACGCCTGGCAATTTATTTTTATGTTAATTATGTCTATTTGTGTGCTTCTGTGTGGGCATATACACGAGTGCAGGTGCCCATGGAGCCCAGAGACATCACATCCTCTGGATTTGAAGTTAACAGGCAGTTGTGAGCTGCTGGACATGGATACTAGGAACCAAATCCCAGTCCTTTGCAAAAACAGTACATTCTCTTAACTATTGAGCTGTCTCTCCAGCCCCCTAACTTCCTTCTAGACTGAATTAATGTGTTGTTGTGCAGCTCACACAAGGACTGGGGCTGAGTGTGGTGGTGCAGGCTTTTAATCCCAACACTTAGGAGGCAGAGGCAAGTGGATCTCTGTGAGTTCAAGGCTACCTGGTCTACATAGCAAGTCCCAGGTCAGTAAGGGCTATATAGTGAAACCGTGTATCACTAATACCACAAACACCCAACCCCTAAAAAAGAAAAGAAAAAAAAAAATATCTTAATTTGTTTTTGGAAAGAGTGGAGCAGAGACTTATGCACATCCCTCCCACTCCCGTATTGTACTGTGACCAAGCATAAACTTTTTTTACATTTATTTAGTCTGTGTGTGCACATGTATGTGCTAGAGTGGTATACCTGTGGAGGTCAGAGAACAATTTGCAGAAGTCAGGTCTCTTTCTACCATGTGGGGCTTAGGGATTGAATTTAGGTCATCAGGCTTGGGAGCAAGTGCCTTAACCTGCTGAGCCATTTTACTGGCCCAGGTATTACGTTTTAATGGAAGGGAATAAAACTATAAAAGAAAGAAAAGGGGCTGGAGAGATCAGCAGTTAAGAGCACTTGGTCTCTTGGAGGGGACTCGGTCTCTGTCTAGAACTTACATTAGATATCTCAAAACTGCCTGTTAACTCAATTGCAGAGAATTGGATGCCCTCTTCTAGCCCCCGCAGGCACCTGCACATACATGGTGCACATACGTATACTTAGGCACACACATGTAAAAAGTAAGCCTTAAAAAGAAAGAAAAGTATTTTTCATGCTCAACTCACTGGTCACATTTTGTTGTGTTTCTGTAGCTTTTTCTCTTGGCCCCTAGGAAAGCAAAAGGCCTTTCCAGCCTTTCTGTGCACCCAAGTTTGTCATCCGTATTAGTTAATGAGCTGCCAAGTAAGTAGGCTTCAGTTAAAGAGTTCTTTCTACACAACTTCAGTTCTAAGGTTTAAGGAATAACAATTTTTTAAAATCTATGATTGGAGTTTCTTTTCTGGTCTTGTCTTGTTCTTCAAACTTGGTTTACTGGAAATATATTATCAGTATATGACGCTAATGCCACATACACAGAAATTTTCAGTTTTGTCTTTTTTATGAATTTCTAAGCTCTCCTTCAATTATTTTTCACCCATAGTATGTTGAGGGTTCTTAATTGTTTTGCATACAAGTTACTGGGGCACCCTTTAAAATGACCAGCATTAGATAAGGAATCAGAGGTGGCACTGAGCTTTTGTTTTATTAGTAATTGTATTCTTTTGGAGGCAGGTTTCATGAAAACCCTTGGTATCAAAAGTCTAGAACCAAAGGCATGCTTTTTGGCTCACCAATTCACACTCCAGCTGCCTAGCACAGTGTCAGTGCCATATAGTTGGCACGCAGTTACTCCAAATTTTGTGTCTTATGAGCCTGCCCAGATTATCACATATGAATGAAAACTAACAGCCTCATTTTAGGCAGGGGTGGTGGCACATACTGTAATCCTAGGACTTGAGGAGGAAGAGGCCAGTTTGGGCTCCATTGTGAGGCCCTGTCTCTAAAACCAAGCAATCTCATTTTACATGTGAGAAAACCAGTCAGAGGTACAGTGAAATGCCTGAATAACATTGAATAACATGGCTGGTTAAAATTAGGCCTCGGACCAGGCTTGGTGATGCACGCCTTTAGTCCTGGCGCAGGCAGAGGCTGGTGGATCTCTGTGAGATCAAGGTCCGCCTGGTCTATATAGTGAGTTCCAGGATAGCTGGGGCTACAGGGAGACCCTGTCTCAAAAAGACCAAAAAAAAAAAAAAAACCCTAGGCCTCGGGATTCTTTCCGTTCAAATGTGATTGACGTTTATGGTGTGGAAGTGATTTAATGTGGCGAGTAACTGCTCTTGGCTTGTGTGACCATTCCTGCTGCTTTAAAGAACCGTGGAGCTGCTTCTTGTATCATACTTTATTTCTTCTTTAAGCCTTGGCTCAGTCTCCCCTCCTTTCAGAAAGATGTGAAGCAGACAGGCAGAGTAATGCCATTAAGCAGCCAGGAATTCTAGGCGTCTGTGAGGGTTGCCCTTGGCATACTTATTTTCTGGACATGTAGAAGGTGCACGCCAGTAGAGCTTGGTCAGTCCTTAGCATGGTAGGCATTCTGATCCTCAGTTCTTTATTCTCCAGGCACCATCCAGGAGGATTACCTGAGAGAGCTGCTGACCACCATGGGCGATCGGTTTACAGATGAGGAAGTGGATGAGCTCTACCGAGAAGCCCCCATTGACAAAAAGGGGAATTTCAACTACATCGAGTTCACACGCATCCTCAAACACGGGGCAAAGGACAAAGACGACTGAAAGAACTTCAAATTCCAGCCAAACGTTCCTTGTTGCCACTTGGGTAGTTCTTGCAGAACCTGTTGCATGCTCTCTGCATTTTACAGCTTTTTGCCTTTCTTGTTTTGTATTTATTCTCAGCCATTTGGGCTTATGTATCTTTATAATCAGAGTGGAAATGGGACTTTTTGTCATTTTCAGAATAGAAAATAAGGTAATTTAACCTACAACTGGTCTTGTCCCTCCCTAACTACAGCCACAGAGTCAGTATATTTTTTCAGAGAAAGTTATTCACTCAATTTTTTCTGAACAATTAAACTTTATGATAAAATACTTAGTTGTTTAAACTTCTTCTCTACCACCTGACTGATAATTTTACTTGCGTCAAAGAAATTCCTATCAGACATTGCTTGTATTTCTTCCAGGTTTTTGTTTTGTTTTGTTTCTAAAGCAATCCTGGTCTCCTTTACTCTTACTCATTTCTCCCCTTCCCAAGGCAATTTAGTTTTAACTACCTTAGTCGGGTTTCCTGTACTTTTGTACTTCCATTTTGTAAATAACTTCCTGCAGAATGTGTGTGTGTGTATGTGTACATATGTATGTATGTATGTACATGTGTGCTTGTGTGTGTGTGTGTATAGATGATAGATAGATAGATAGATAGATAGATACCACTTTAGTAGCTTTAAGTCTATAAATTTTGATACACTTGCTTTATCTGTTCCCACTTTAAACTTTTATGCATTATTTCCTGCAACTTAAAATTAGACCAGGTCACTGAATATACTAATTTTCATTTGTCCATTCAGAAACAATTTCAGGTCTAAAGGTTCTGTGGAATGCTTTTACCAAAAGGACAAATCTCCGTGTTGTATTTTCAACTGCTGGAAATACAACACAGTAGTTTTCATTATATAGAGTTTTTCTTTATTATAGCAACCCCTATTGAAAGACAGTGTTTGATTATGCAGAGATTCATCATGAGTCCGTGTATGAATTTTAGACATTCCTGACCTACCCACAATCAAAACAGCTGTAGCTGCATGCCTGGGAAAGTGAGGTCATTGTTTCAATACTAAAAATAACCTATGGTATTCCTATTACAGAGCTAATCAGGAAATGAAAGGCATTATTCTGTTTAGGCTTCTGAAGTCTCAAAAATTTCTGTTTAAAAAGTTTTGAAACATATGTTGGGAGTTTCTTCAGAAGAGTGGCGATTATTGTGATAACTTTATGCCTCTGTTAACAAGACTGTCCTTAAGGAAACCATTACCTCATTTAATAAACAATTACTGAATTCCTTTGGGCAGCAGGTCTTATACTCAGTAGGATAGAGGAGCTAATCTCTCTAATCCAGAAAGGCCAGTGACGCAGAATTGGGGGAATTAATAACAACTAGTCCGCACCCTTCAAGGTTAGGATCATAGAATTGACCTGAATTTCATTCACTTGTTTGAACGAAATAGCTTTCCCAGGCTTTATGTGGCACCTTTGTGTCTTGTCTGTTGAGTTTCCATTTCAACTGAGGGGAAAAATGATCCTTTCTGCTTCATTAATGGATCTTTAGTGAGAGATGAAATTATTTCAGCTATAGAAAAAAAGTACTACTAAAATGATTTCTTGCAGTGTCCAGTTCCATTTGGGCACTTTAAAGTGCTACCCTTCATTAGGAACAGTAGGTAGGAAATAGTAGGATTTTCTGCTTAGTTGCTGGGCTTTGCTTAAGCAATGATAACTGCAAGTAAAGAGCTGAAAGAGGGCTGAAGAGATGGCTCAGCAGTTAATAGCACAGGATGCTCTTGCAGAGGATCCCAGTTCAGTTCCCAGCACCCACATGGCAGCTCACAGCCATCCTTAACTCCGTTTCATGTACTCTGAAGCTCTTTTCTGGCCTCTTCGGGCACTGCACACATGGGTACACTTACTTACATGCAGGCAAAACACTCATACATAGAATTTAAAAAATAAAAATTGCTGGGCATGGTGGTGCACGCCTTTGATCCCAGCACTCTGAGAGGCAAAGGCATGCAGATCTCTGAGTTCAAGGCCAGCCTGGTCTACATAGCGCAGGCCAGCTGGGGCTACAGGGAGATCCTGTCTCTAAAAGACCAAAAAATAAACAAATTAAAAATAATTTTCTTTCAAAAGCTGAATCTCATCTAGCAGTGGACTTTGACTACAAAACCAGTCTCTAAACTTTCTGTGATGAAAATTACTTTGAAACAAGTTCAAAGTTACAGTGAAACCAATGTGATGGACCAGCACCCCATCCACCTGTTTATGATTATATTGCCATTTGGACTCCAGGGCCTCAATTCTATTTGATCAGGAACCTAAGAGTTGAGGATGGGAATTGGAGGTACTGAGACAGAAGGAGGCCAGAATAGAAGACAGGTAAAAGCAAGTTCTGAGAAGGGAACCACTTTCTACAAAATGAGGGTAGAGGAAACTTTAAGGATGAGGTAGAAACTTACTAAATGGCTTTGAGAAGTAAATGGGACCACAGAAACAGTTATGGAAATGGAGTTTTAAAGAGTGAGGAAGTTAGTATCAAATCACAGAAAAGTCAAGTGTGGTGAACTTTAAATGAGACGCTAGATTTGGCCTGTTCACCTTTCCTAGAATAGTTTTAGGGTAGTTTTGAATGTAGAAGCCAAAGTAGTAAACAAAACTGAAGTTTTAGGGGGTCTGATACATCTACGTTTCAAGTCCCATTTTTGTTACACTGGCTTTATAAATGCTTGTTGATCTGTTAATTCATTTGTAAAATGAATTAACACTGTAGCTCATAATAGCATTTCTTTTTAATTATTAAAAGTAGTATGTACTTGGGTCTGGATTTGGTTGAATAAATTCTACCTGTTACCTGAGTAAATCTGTGTCCTAAGGCAGGCCAGGCTGTTCTTAAATGGCAGCTTATTTATCTGAAATAGGAATAGTTCCTTTTAAATTTGCTACCCAAATTAGAAACAGTAAAGGTAAATGGTGTGAACACAATTAGCTGTCTAAATAAATAGTCATTATTGTTTGGCTTGCCAGTGGGGCCCCGTGAAGAATCAAGAAGGGAAGACAAAAGGCATGTCTTTAGAGGTTGAAGTCTATTTGTAGAAAGAGGGATAGCTTGGCTTTTATATGGGTACTGTGAATTCAAACTTAGGTCCTCTTGCCTGCTTATGTGCTCCTGCCCACTGAGCCCACCCCCCATCCCCTTTGTTTTTTGTGAAAGGATGTCACAATGTAAGTTAGTCTTGAACTTGAGGTCCTTCTGCCTCTGGAGTGCTTAGGACTGCAGGCATGTGCCACCACATCCTGCTTACTAGCTCTAATCATACATTGACTAGGGTGAGGACTTAGAAAGAGTTCTGTGAAAACAGCCAGAAATCTTATAAGAAACAGAGTTACAGTCAAATGGTAGGCTGCATCTAAGGGGAAGAATAAATACAACCAGATGTCTTCAGATGAGCACCAGAGTATCAACATTACCTGGTGTTTATTCTACTGAATACTAATACCAGGTTTTGAAGCTCAAGGATCTGTTTTAACAGCCACTCCAAGTTTATTTTTGAATAACTTTATTTTGTATGAATGGCACCTGCATGTTGAGGTCAGATGTCAACCTGCAGGCGTTGGTTCTCGCCACCATGTGGGTCCTGGAAATTAGGCTTGTTAGCAGGCACCTTTATCTGCTGAGCTGTGTACTGGTCCCTGCGTTAGTTTCTTATTTTTATTTTTTAGATTTTTAAAATATATTTTTGTGAGTCTATTTTTTATTGAATTTTTGGGAATTTCGTACAGCTCTTTGTTGTTCTGTTTTGTTTTTATCTTTTTGAGACAGGCTCTCCCTGTAGCCTTAGCTGGCTTGGAACTCACTATGCAGACTGACCTTATCTCAGATCTGCCTGCCTCTGCTTTCAGAGTGCTGGTGTTACAGGTATGTGTCATCATGCCCAGCATACAGTGTATTTCTATAGTCAAATTTGTGTCCCCAAATGCCTTTCGGTGTGGGTCCATCCACTGAATCCTGGTTAACCAAGACTGACTCTCCCTCTCCCAGTATCCAGTAGTTCCTCAGATACGGTTGGGGTTTCTTACCCACTTCCCCATGCTGGGATTTTGTCTGGCTTGAGCTTAGTGGGACCTGTGTATGTTGTCACCATCACTGCATGTTCATAACGAGTAACTGCCAGGCCTCAGCAATACTGTTTCCTTGTAGTTGTCCACAACCTCTGGCTCTTACAGTCTTTCTGTCGACAGTGATCCTGGAGCCTTGGGAGGCAGAAGTTTGATAAAGGTGTCCTATTCAGGGATAAGCAGTTTGCAACCTCTTGACCAGTTGTGGTTCTCTGTGATAGTAATATGCTGTATAAAGAAGCTTCTCTGCTGAGAGATGCATTAATTATGGCAGGTCTGGGAAAGCGCTCAGATCTGGAGGTGTGCAAGGGTCCTAGCCCTGGGTAGGTATTTTTGTTGGGTTGCTTTTGTTTCTGTTTTCATCATTGTTTAGACACTGATGTGCATTTCACTCAGCTCCTATTCAGTGCTGAACACACACCGTTCTCACCCGAGGGAAGATACTTTGAACTGCTCAAAGATACTTTGTTTGAACTGCTCATCTCCAGCCTCTGGTACATATAAAGGCAATAAAAAGTGTTTAGTGTACTAAAGATTGCAACTAAATTGACAATCATCCATTAATATGAACTAATGCTGTTCGTCTAGATGGCCACTACGAAGGAAACTGCTGCAGACTACAGCCGTGAGCAGTATCTAGAACAAAACCTGGGTAATATAGCCATGGGTTTTCCATGTTGGGACCCAGTACACAATGTGTGTGCTTAATTCTGTCAAGTCTTTAAAATAAGAAAGCAGATAACTCAAAGATCTCCTGTGACTTTTCAGCAGGCCTGATAATGCCCGTCAGCTTATTTGGAGATGGGATGGGGTTAAAGGACACTGGATGTAATTTCCTGAGAAGTGAAAGGGTTCTGAGCTCGGCCGCCACCCTCATTCCTTCTCTAGAAAACTTTATCTAAAACTCTATTTCAATCAGCCAACTACCCTCCGCTAAATAAGGCAACCTTGGGCAGGCCGCTGCGAGCGCCTGGGGACCTCAAACCGGGGCGGGTCGGGTCCACCCGGGTCAAATTCCAGCCCCGCCCTCGGCCCAGGAATGCGGGAAGGGCGGCGGGACCGCAGCGTGGGGGGCGGGGTGGGGGCTGCGGCTGGGGGATGCCATGAGGTTCCGGCCGGGAAGGGGCTCAGCCCTAGTCTGTACGGGGCCCGTGGGCAGCACATCCCGCCCCCGCCCCACCCCGCCGGCCGCCCGGTCCCCGGGCCGCCCCGCACTTTAGCGCCCCCCGCCCCGTCGCGGTTGGTCGCGCTGCGCCTTCCGGTGCGCCTTCCGCCCCGCCCCAGGCAGGAAGTGCGGCGCCGCCACCGTCCAGCCACAGCCCAGCGCTCGTCGCCGTCGTCGGTCGTGTCGCGCGGAGCATCCTCGGACCTGGTGAGTGGCGCCCGGTCGCGCGCGCGACATCCTGGGCCGCAGCTGCGCCTGGAGCCTCCGGGCGGCGGGACCCACAGCCGGCCCAGTAGTGGGCGCCGGGCTGGGGCAGAGGAGGCTCTGGGAGGCCTGGCCTGGAAGCCCGGGGCCGCAGAACCCTGGACGTCCCCGGTACCGTGTGCTCAGGCGCTGCGGCACCTGGATGACTTGCACACCTGGTGCCCTCTGCCTTCTCCCTGCACCTGCCCGTCACCCACCTCCCCGCCCGGCTGCAGGCCCAGACACTGGGCTACTCCTGATAGCTTGAATTGGTACTAGATGCTTTGAGGGCGTAAGGAGACTCCTAGTGCACGGTTCCTGCCTAAGGTGAGATGTTTAAGGAAACTAAGAACGGGTACTGGGGCTTACGGTTAGCATAGGCTAACGTGTAAAATGGTTTCCTTAATTCTTACTACGTATATCTTGCGTCTTGCAAAAAGGTTTAGTTCATTCTGTTGATTGAAGAAAAGGATAATTCAAAGAAACCTGGAAAGGCTTCCTTGGAAAGAATAGTGACCTCGTTTGAAGGAGAGCTCCTACAGGGAGAACTCCGCGTTTCTGCCTGGGGCTGTGGGTAGGAGGTAACTAGAACAAAAGTTCAAAAGGTGGGAATTGGATCATGTAAAAAGGAGACACTGGGAAGACCAGCCGAACGGAGCACAATACAGTGAATAATAGCGGAAGCAGGGACGGTGATGAGGGTAGAGCACTTCCATACAAGGCCCTCAGCTAGATCCCCAGCACTGCAATGAAATAAAATAAGATGAAAGAAAGTAGGTCAGTGAGGCTGTACAGGTGCTCTGAAAACTTGACAAAAAATGAGAAGTTATGTAAGAGGCCTTAGGGAGTCACTTGGATTCTTTAAGAAAGTAACATAATGAGAGGGTATTTAGGGGAGGCTTTTGGCAGCTTTTGTTAACGATAGATTTGGAATAGTCCTGTGTGTGTAAGAATCAAAGCATTTTTAGAATGCAGTAGGACCTTATAGATTACCGCCTGAAACCCTAATGATTGTGGAAAATGAGGGGAGGTGATTTGCCCAGGGCCACTGGAGAAATTCATTGTAATTCTATAATCCACCTCCACACCCACTTTTGATATATGAGGGCAGCTTTTTGTTCAGGCTGTGTTAAATGAGATAGATTCTCAGATGGCTGCCTCTGTTGGTTTATGTTTTAATGAGCTCAACTTCTGAAGGATGGATCCCCAGGTGAGGGTAGCCAAGGTTAGGAAGTACAGGGATGGGGTCAGTTTCTCCATTCTCCCAAGATTGAAAGACACCAGTTATCTAGGGATGAGGCATTAATTACACCCAGTTACTAGCACCCTTCCTCAGAAGGTTGAGCACTGAGTCTGCTGAAATTGACAGTAGACAGATTAACAGGAGAAAGTATGCCAAATTAATCTTGTGTAAAGGAAGGAGAAAACAGGAAGGTGTACTCAATCAGTAAGGCTTAGAAGTTTGTTGCCCTCTCTCTATAGGAGGGGGAAACGATGGGGAATGTACCGATTTTAGAGGAGAGTAAATGGTTTTTAGAAGTGGCAAACTGGCCTGAAACCCAGGTGATATAGCAGAACAAAGTTCCTCTGGGCTCTGGGTGTGGTGTCAGGTCTAGTCTAGTTATTGGACAAACTGTAGAGAGCTAGCCCTAGCAACTACATTCCTTGTGGAAGAGCTTCCCATGGTCTCATAGTAGACCCTTGGGAAAGCTCTCCTACACACAAAGAAAGGAGGCCAGAAAAACCTTAAAGGTGCTTTTTCAGTTCAGGGTACTCGGCATAGCAGGCACCCGTATCACAGTATCACTTTCTGAGCCCCAGACTACACATTAGCTGTGTAATGGCACTGCCGCTACCCCAGCTAAAGTTTTTATGGTAGAGGATTTCAGCCACGTATATGCAGGGCACAAGGGGCTGGTGGTTCAAGCCCTGGGGCTGAGTTTCCCCTGTACAGATTCTGCTCTCAGGGCTGCCACTTCTAGCATTTTCCCTAATTTTCTTACCTTAGAAATGGGAATAATAGTGCCTATAACTTGTGAGGATTAAATATCAATCCATGTGAAATGCGTAGAACAATGCCTGATATGCCCTTAGCATTCAGTTATTGTCCTTTGTTAATGTTCCTTCCAGGTTCAGCCAGGGGTAGCTGTAGCCAGTAGGTTTTGTTAAGGATCTTTTGAAAGTCAGGCTAGTGCAGCATGTGCTACCACAGGTAGACTAGAGAGAAAGGCCTTATTTTGGTGCTTAAATCTAAGACCTACATCACCTTGAACATGTGTGTATATATTTGCTTAACTAGTATTTATTTAGCACTTGCTGTGTGCAGGGTAGTTTTCTAGACTTTGTAATCCAAGGTAGAAAGACAGAGGGCCATAAAAAGGTATTTGTAAGCTGCAAGACAGTGTAGTACTACACCATAAGAGAATAGAATGGACTGAGGGTATAGCACTTATTTTGTTTGAGGCCCTGGGTTTGAGCCCCAGCACTGGAAAGCACTTTTTTAAAAAACAAAAGGACAGGGGCTAGAGAGATGGCTCAGCAGTTAAGAGCACTGGGTGCTCTTGCAGAAGACTGGGTTTGAATCCCAGCACCCACATGGTGAAGTTCCAGGGGATATGATGCCCTTTTCTGTCCTCCATGGGAACTGCATGGCATGGATGCACTTAAATACATGCAGGCATAACACTCATACACAAAAGATAAAATTAATCAATCAAAAAAGTTGTTTTTTAAAAGGAAGGAGAATCAGGTGTTGTAGAGCACACTTTTAATCCCATCACTCTGGAGGCAGAAGCTGAGAATCAGAGCAGGCAGATCTCTAAGTTTGGGGCCAGCCTGGTCTACATAGCAAGTTCTAGGCCATCCAGGGCTACAGAGCGAGACCCAGCCTCAAACAAACAAAACAAGCCGGGCCTGGTGGTGCACACCTTTAATCCCAGAGCTTGGGAGGCAGAGGCAGGCAGATCACTGTACTCAGTTTGAGGCCAGCCTGGCCTACATAGTGAGTTCCAAGCCAGTTGGGGCTACAGGGAGACCTTGTCTCAAAAAGACCAAAAAACAAAACAAAACAAAAAATTCCATGGGTATACACATTTACAAAAGCTCTTAGGTTTGTACATCTCACTGTGTATACATTTCAGTGCAGTAAAACAGAATGATTCGAGGATAGAAAGTTTACTGCCAGCAAGGACATTCCTAAAACCTGCAGTGAAGAAGGAAATAACATTAGAATGTGGTAAATTTTAAAGTACCTGGTTGGGGGAAGGTTCACCTGGTGTTAAGAAAAGTTGTAAAAAATTGAATTTGACTCTTTAAAAGATAATTATGGAAATTTTTAGACCTGTGTAAGCAACACAGGTCTAAAAACAATTATGTCAGTAAGTATATGGGTTTAATTTTGTGAAGCATGTAATTCTCTTTCTGATTGCTGTTTTCAAACTGTTCGTGTATCCAATCATTTGATCCCCTTAATTAGAACAAGTAGTAACTGGCCTTGACTATAGTAATTACATGGGAATCCATGAGAAATTTCTAGATTCTTCAGACCTTGATAAAGAGTGAATAAAAAATTACCTTGACATTAGCCCAGGAAGCATTCTGCTGTTCATTGTCGGCCTCGTCCTGTGACTGCTTATAAATCATCCTTGCTAGAAAAGACTACACACACACACACACACACACACACACACACACACACACACACGTAAGCATCCTTCCAGTCTTCTGGCAGCTCCGCCCCCATGGTGTGGGATCATCCTTGAATTTTTTTTTTTTTTGTCTTTGAGACAGGGTCTCTCTGTAGTCTCAGCTGGCCTGGAACTCACTATGTAGACCAGGCTGGCCTTGAATTCACAGAGATCCACCTGCCTCTGCCTCTCAAGTCCTGGAATTAAAGGCGTGCACCATCATGCCCAATGCAACCTGAATTCTTTTTTTTTTTTTTTTAGGTTTATTATTATTCACTAATTATGTGTATATGTAGGAAGGGTATATACATGTGAGCTCAGGTGCCTGTGGCCGCCAGAGGCGTCAGGTCCTCTTGGAGCTGGAGTTACAGGTAGTTGTGAGTGCCCTAAGTGGGTTCTTAGAACCCACCTTGGTCCTCTGCAAGAGCAGTTTGCTCCCTTAACCACTGAGCCATCTCTCCAGCTCCCCCAAACTTGAATTCTTCTCATTCCTTTGCTTTCCAAACCAGCTCCACCCTTTTCCCCTCCCTGATTATCTCACTTTGAGTGATGCCTTCATTTATTTTTATATTTTATAGTTTTTGTCTGTTTTGATTTTTTGAGACAAGACCTCACTCACTGTAGTCCAGGCTGGCCTAGGACTCACAGGACTCACAGGACTCACTTGAGAGTGCTGGGATTACAAGTGTGAGACACCACGCAAGCTTGAGTGGTACCTTTATGATGTAAGTTTTTCAACCAGTGTTTAAATACCTTCCAGGACAGAACTTTGAAGAAAGCTGTGATTAGGAAGCAGGAAAAACCTGCAAACTAGGAGAGGAACAGCTAGGTTAGTGGTGACAGGTGGGAGAATGAGGAGGGAAAGATTGGCACTTAAGGAAACCTACTGAAGTTGGGCAGAAATTGAATCCTAGTTAATTTTTTCTAACCAGAAATAGAAAATTCCCTATCCAATGCGAGCTTGACTGTGGTCCTTTTGAGCTTTCTACAGTTCTGTGGCTCTAACCCTAAAATAAAGGCATTCCTGTGATTTAACATTGAAGAGAGCAAGTGACACTGGCTTTGTTGCTTTTCCACTGGTAGGTAATAATACCCAGCTTTTGAAAGCCAGGAATTCCCACTCAGGTTAGGTGGAAGTCTCCTGTGAGACTGTCCTCAAATGAAAAAGGATCAGCCTCCAAGATGGCTGTTTCACACTCCTGGCCTGTTGGTGCTGGCTGTCGGCAGGAGGCCTCAGTTCTTCCTGCCTACTGGTATTAGCGCCTGTAGACTGACCCATGAAAGTGATATCAGGCAGGGTGTGTTGTGACGGTCACACACATCGTTTTACAGTGCACTGCTCATTCTGGTGGCCCACTTTTTTCACTTTTGGAGCAAACTGCACAAAGATAGCTGTTGAGGGCCACCTTGGAGCCTAGCTAGCACCTTGACCAAAGGAGGGCGTTTGTTATCAGGGCTGATACAGGTGGCATAAAGGGCAGGAATGAGTGTGCTAATGGAGTGCTCTTCATAGGAATTGGGGATGCTGGTCAAGTGATACCTTATGTAGTTGATCAAGATGTTTGGGGGGAACTAAACTTACTTTTTTTTTTTTTTTTTTTTTTTTTGAGATAGTCTTTCACTGTCCTGCATGTGCCACCA